AAAAGTTAGACACAGGAAGTTGGAACCAACTAGTATATATAGGAACACACAAATAACACATCCTAGATCTGAATGAATGAAATATTCTCATTGAATACTTTGTTCTGTACAAAGTTGAATGTGCTGACAACAAAATCACACAAAAATCATCAATGGAAAGCAGGCCTGGATTTGGAGCCACACACAAAATTAAAGTGAAATGTTCCCTTTATTTTTTTGAGCAGCATATATATATATATATACATATATATATATACACACACACACACACACACACACACACACACAGAAAGCTTTAAAAGAACAGGGCTTATAAATTAAGAAAATGTAGACTAGCTTTTGGAATACAAAAAGTCCTGTGTTAGGTTTTGTTATTACAAAGCTCTGCTTAACAATAATAATGTAATTTAGATTTACATTTTAATAGTTTTCATGTTCTCCCTGTGCATGTTTGGGTTTTCTACAGGTCACGCTTCCCTCGACATGTTGGGTTAATTGGTTGTCCTTCGATGACGTTTAACCTTTCCTCTGTTTTCTTTCTTTTGCTTCCAGGTTATGGAAACAGAGTTTGGGTGAATCCCTCCCAGCAAAGAGGAGGATATATTCAGCCGTCATCCTTCTCCTCACAGGGAAGCAGTGACTGGGGTTCGGGACGTGGTGGTGGAGGAGGTGGGGGCGGCGGCGGCGGCGGGAGAAGAGAAAACCTGAAGAGCTCTGATTTCAGCTTCTCATCTTCGAATCGATTTTCTGCTCTCGATGCTTCCAATGCCTTTGACAAGGGAGGAAGAGGAGCAGCGGCAGGTTTTGGAACTGCCGGGGACGAAGATGACGACAAGAAACTGTGAGTCTGCTTGTTTTTGAATAAACCTTTTAGGCTTATTGTAAGGGATTCATTAATGTTTATATCTGACACTTTATCAGTGAAGTCATTCAGGCGGACGTGGATGCCTGGGAGAGTTCAGGACAGTGGGGCTTCTCGTGCTACTCTACCTTTAAGACGCCCATATCAGGTTTGTGTCTGTTTTATTCTGTTTGTTTGTGAATTGGCAGTTTTAAAACTTGAAAATGAAACTGGATTATTTTGCCCGCAGGTTTCACTGATCTGTCTCCAGAAGAGCTCAGGCTGGAGTACTACTCCAGCAGAGCATCAGGGGATCTGCAGGGCTACGTAGGCGCTCGCCTCGTTCCTAATATTCGTCTGCGTCCGTTTTTTATTTTGTGTCGTGCGGCAGTCGTAATGACTCCCAGTTCTGTGTTGTTGTTTTTTTAGCTAAATGGAGTAAACCAGCTGCTCAGTCAGTGGAAAAGCAGAGTCCAGGAGCTGAAGATTATGAATCCGTCCACACGTATGGCACTGGTAAGACACAGATATACACACACAGACACGCAAATACTGTCAATGTCAGAAAGTTTTCATCCGTCCACTTGAGGAACTTTTTGAAAGTTCAGTGAGCAGGTTTAGATGACTGCATGTTTTCTTTGCACACAGCTCGCCGAGTTAAAAGGAACAGCTCCGCAGTCGTCTTCGAGTGGCTTTGGTTCGGCAACGACGACAGGATTTGGATCCTCCACATCCGGCTTTGGCAACAAAGGTCAATAAGTATTACTGCATTGCAAGAGTAGACAATGGAAGGATCGACTGTTGCAATAGGAAACACTGCAAGCTGATTAATGGCGTTTATATTGAGATTTTATGTACCAACAGCAATTAGAGCATATCTATATGTAAGTGGAAAGAAAAGGATATGCAGTTTTTGAAATGTTGACATTTTTTGCTCATTTTTCTTTGCAAAATAACTCTAGCTTAGCCCAATGAAATGGATAGTAATACTCCAGACACAGATTCTCAACTCGAATAGGCCATTCTGTGATATGAATAAGCTTTGCTGTAAAAGAAGAGCTACAAAATGTTCACCATTAGCTTGTTTATTGAACAGTAGAAGTTCCTATTTGACCATCTTAAACCAAATGTCTTCAACTTTTCATTCTCCATCACTCCTTTGCTAATTCTGATCATTCCGACCACGCAGGCTTCGGTGCACCAGCCCAGTCCTCCACCTTCGGTTTCCCAGCCCTGAGTTCTGGATTCGGCTCTTCTTCTACATCTTCACCTTCAACTGGGTTTGGTAGCCTTATAACGGCTCCAACACAATCTCCGTCTGGGTTCGGCTCTTCCGCCGCGCCTTCCGCTTCGTCCTTCTCATTCGCCACCCCGAGCGCAGACAAGCCGCCGCCGCCAACGGCCTCTTCGGGCTTCGGATCGGCCTCGGGGTTCACCTTCTCCTCCACGACAGCAACCGCCGGAGGAGGGTTTGGGAGCGCCTTCGGGACAGCGGCAGCTTCACCTGGAGCCGGACCGGTGGGAGAGGCCGCAGACGGTCTGTTCTCACCCGAGAGCAAACTCACCCAGGAAGAACTGAATCAGTTTAAAGCCAAAAGGTTCACTTTGGGACAGATTCCACTAAAACCACCACCTGCGAACATGCTAGTGGTCTGACACTGTGGGAGAAGCTAGTGCTTTCCCTTTGGGTCGTGTATTGATTCAGTCCAGCCAACGAAGAATTTTTCACTAATATTTAGGTGCACAGCAAACAATATGCACAGATTTCTACTTGGGACTCACTGTGAATGACATCTTTTGCACCATAAAACGCTGACTTTAGATTTTTAAATTTGGCTGATTTTATTCTTTAAAATTTTTTTGTAGAACATTCTGTTTGTTATGGCGAGTATTTATCTGTAAATGATGAAGAGTAGCAACTACAACAAATCATTGACGACCAATTGCACTTCTACATAGGTCCCAATAAGCTGCACTTACTGCTGTTAGTCGTAAGAGGGTGCCATGATAAAAGTTGGAGTGTTTCTCACTTTCTCTGCCTTTGTGTCTCTGGTGACCAACTGGTTTAATATGAGCAGTCGCTTTCAGATTGTAATTTTTGCCCAACATTAAAACAATAAATGAAAATCAGTGAGTGCAAAGCTATTAGTCCACAGCTTTCTCTTCTGCACGCCACAGAACGGGGGAACACAGATAAGTGACGCGTGAATGCAGTCGGTGTTTATTAGACGCCGAGCACCAGCGGGACCCCAAGCGGAGTAATACAGACCACAGCAATAAGCAGTTTTACTACAGAGGCCACTGCGCTGCTGACTGGTGCATATTTTCAGCTGACGAGGACCTCCTCGTGTTGTCAGCAGAGAGGTGAAAGGGAGCGGAGTGAAGTGTTTTGCCAGGTCAAAAGGTAGATAAGACTAATGCAATTAGAAGCATCCCTGCAAATAGTCGTAGAACACGAAGCGCAAGCAAATCGGAGTGCCGTTTTCTCTCCTACCTCTCAAGACTGTCAGCAGTAGTCCACCCCTCCTCGTCCGCCTGTCTCCTTCTGCCAGCAGATAATACATTAATAATTCAACAGATTAAAAAGGGGCTATCTCATGAAAAAGGCACTCTCATTTCACTGGAACTCATTTAATTTGCAACGCGGCTCCATCAAATTGCCAGTCTGCTCGCGATGACGGGTGATGTGTGTGCGCGCGAGTGAAAAGCAGATCAGAGCTGTATATTACATGCGATGAATGAGGTCATGGATGTTTGCATACACACGCACACGGACACACACACACGGACACACACGCAGCCAGATGTAGTTTATTTTTCCTTCTTTTGTTGCCCCTCTGCAGCAGCCTTCACGTTTATTTGCACACCTGGGAACGATGTATAAAAAGCATTAAAAAAAATCTGTCATCTTATATTGCAGTGGCATCATCTCACAGTAAATGTTTTGTTTAATTTGAGTGCAGGTTTGTTTCATCGGGACAGAGTCCTACATTGGGAAATGGTTATTTTGTAAAAAGAAAAAAATGTACCTGGCGCTACTTTTCTTCTTTAAATAGAAAAGACTGAAAGGCCTCATTTCTCTTTGCCACACTTCAAAATTTAAAACGCAAAAATACATGCCATTCAAGTGAGCCAAATGCCTTTTGAGCCCGTTTTAGCACAATTACATTAATATTGATACACCTGAAGTTTAAAGCTTTCAAAATGAACATTTTTTTTTATTGTGGTAGTATTAATTTAATTAAACTGATAATCCAATACTCACCATATGAAAACATTTTGGAAAAGTGTTATGCTCTCAACTTTGTGGGAACTATTTGGTGATGGCTCTTTGTGTTCCAAGGTCAATAAGTACACGGATCAGGAAGGTTCCTGAGCCTCAACCCAATAGACAACCACAGACATTGTGTGTCCAACATCATTGTCTGATGTTAGAAATGTTGTTCTGGCTGAAGTTGTTACAGCCGCAAATGTTGGGTCAACATCAAATCAAACCCTATGGATTAGAAATGAGATATTGCTCTGTGAATACAGATGAGCAAATACTTCTGGCAACTTCATACTCCCTAAAGCAGATCGCACCTTCTTTGTCTACCTACTGCATATGTGTTTCATCTGTAAATGTTCACCGTTACTCATCCAGTGTGATGACTGAACCAGCTGAATTGAGGATGAAACCCCTGGAGGCTCCCCCAACCCCCTCTGACACGCTAACCAAGTGATTTGGACGCAGAGCTCGCCTTGTTGATGTTCGTTGGGAGCTGATCCCGGTCGAACCTCCTTGCCTTTACAGCGCAGAACAAGGGTTACTAATTGGAACAATGAATCCCGCGGTGGAATTGATTGGGTTCAGCCAGGGCAGTTTGTCTACGGGAAACGGTTGCATTGATTCCCGGCGCTGTGATTCATGCCGATTTGAGCGGCCTCCCTCACGGGTGACTGAGCGGCACATAATTCACCTGCAGACGTTGGATTAGAGGAGTCTGTGTAATGCATGTTAAGGATGTGGTTACCGGATCACAGAGAGTAACGGTCGTCGCCTTTTCCCAAACGGATTCTCGTCATCCGGACTATTGCAACACCTATGAGCAACTTTTATGATTCTTTTTGGTCAAATTGTCTTTATTTGTTAAGCACAACCTAGGGCGCCTCATGGCTCAGAGGTTGAGCAGAATCGTCCCTGGTTCGATTCCCGGCCTCCTTCCCTTTCTGCCCTTCATCTTGTCAAGCTACTATTGAATAAAAGACTCCAGGACACCTTTTAAAAGAAATATAAAGTGTAACCTGTGATTATAGAGAAAAGCAAACAATGGTTTTTCAAGTCTTTTTCTGTTAATCAACTTTGAAGGACAAATATCTGGCTCTTCTAGTGCTCCATCCCTCCCAGGTGTGGCGCAGTTTCTTGGGCCGGTTCAGGCAAAGTGTCTGTATGCTCAGCTGTGTTCTGGCACCGGTTCATCTTCTCTGAGCCAGCTCTGGCCCATAAATTGTTGTCAAAATTTGTCAGTGCTTTGGGCATGTGGATCTGGGCCAGTTCGGACTGAGAGCTGGCACCTTCAGCTGCTTAAGGACTAACAGAAGACCAAACGTGTTTGTTGACCTAAATTTTGGGGGCATACTTTTCCAGGGCGCCTGACTCTGTGTTTGGGTTGGCTTTGACGCGGTCTTCTTCTCACGACTTCAAGAGCTACGCGGCTTTCTTCTCCTCACCTGACTCTGCTCTTCGGCCATTTTGAATTCGGTGCAGTGTCCTGCAGATGTATACAGATCCACCGATTTTCACATATTCTTTCCCTTTACCGTTACAAACGGTAAAGTTTGTAACTTTACCGATATTTTTTACTGATATTTTTTCAGAAAATATCAGAAAAAAAAATATCAGAAACGTCCAAAACAGTTTTAGCAAAAACTGTTTTTGCTATAGACAAACAGTAATGTGAAACTGAGAATCAGAAGAAAAAGTATGCATGCACCCTGAGCTATTATACCTTTATACAAAATCCAGTTCAACTAATGTGCAGTTTGTCACAGCCAACATGTGGAACAGTTTTCACAAGTCAAGTGAAATTAAAGTAGATTTTGATCATGCTCTGTTCATCCATTTCTTAAATAAACTGCGAAAATGCAAAATCTCACTAATTTTTTTTTGTCTAGATTCTAGTGTAAATATCTTAGTACAATTGAAATAAAAATAAAACTAGCATAAAAAATAAGTTTTCAGTGAGATATTGGAGCCTTTTTTAAGTCAATAATTCCTTAATATTTTGTTTTGGATTAGATTATAACATGTTCACTTTTGTCACTTTTGTGTCTGGATGCTCAGTTGTTACAAACACGGCCTAGGTGGTGTTGATAAAAATACAAATAGGACATTTAAAATTCTGTGGCCTCTCAGGTGACAAAATGTGCAAAGGCTCAGGATGTGTCAATATTTCTGCAAAGCTCTCCACATCCGCTTCGACTCCCTTGGCACAGTTCGCAAGGTTTCCTGTTCCAAGGTTTATTCAGGAGGGCTGTTAAGTCATTAAATCAATACGTTTTGGATTATTTTCTCCTCAGTTTAGAGATCATGGAGTACCTCTCTTCCTCTCAGTGTATGCCAGCCAGTCTCTATCTATGCAGTTCTCTGTCCAAATCTGTTTTTTTTTTTCATATAACCTGTGCAATATAATGCTGTGCAAAAGACATACAAATATGGTGCTGAGAAGCAGGTGGACTTCAAATAATAATTTTTAAGCTCCTCTTAATGGATTCTCCAACATTCCAGAGGTAAAATACCTTGTATACATACCACTAATGATATTTTCATTTAGTCACATAAAGATTTAATTTGAACAAAATCACCAGTGTTCACAAGTGCCACAAATAATGGCACCAAAAGCAATTCTTCAATAAACGAAGCATTTTAAAATACAAACTGAAGAGGAGCTTCAATGGATTTTCCACAACTTTCCAATATGTGTGTGTGTGTGTGTGTGTGTGTGTGTGTGTGTGTGTGTGTGTGTGTATACATATTTTTATCAAGTCAACTTTTCCAATTAATTTGGCTTGCTGGAATTAAGTTTCATGAGAAGGTATAGGTTTTGAATTGCTTATGATACTCAAAAAAGTTGCAGAAGAGTCAGAAAATATCTAAAAAAAAAAATTGCTTTTGTCAGAAAAGTCCAAAACAGTTTTTGTTTTTAGCAACTTGTAAAATACTATGTGTGAAACATGATGGTGGCTTAGTCATGCTGTGGGAATGTTTTTTTTTTCAGTCATTAAATCAATAATTTTCAAAACCTTTATTAACTTCTGACTTTTCAAATCAGTTTTCCCATAGCATAATGAAATAACAAGAAAACATTTGTCTATGTCCTGTTTTTCATCTGTTAAAATAAAGTGCATACAAAAATTAAATTAGAAAAATAAACACGAAATAGTGACAAAGTCACAATAAAATTAAGACAAAAGTTCCTGGTGTAGCCATCATAATATGATTATAAGTAACACATCTTGACTGCATTGACTACACTGGTAAATACTGCAACGAACACGTAGCCGATTTAAATATTGAACCAATGTTGTGTTCAACCTGACGATGTTTACATCTGTATTTAAAGCTGTAAAGGTGTAGCTGCATATTGAAAGATATTGTGTGTAGTTTAAGGTGAATTGAATTAATCGCTTTGAGCTAACAAAAAAGATCTTTCTTTACAGCTATATGCAGGCAGTTCCCAAAGACGGCCCCAAGTGGTCGCTGTTTGTCCAAAACACTTCCAGGCAGCTTCATCGCAACGCATCTCTCTCTCCCTCCCCTCCTCTCTGCTCTGCTCTCCTCTCCTCCCAGCTCCGCTCCGCTCAGCTCAGCAGTGCGACCCTCACCTCCTCGGATTCCGTGTGACCAGCAGCCCTGAGCGGATAACAGCCGTCCGGCAGAGCGCCGCCCGTCCCGCAAACCAGCACAACCACCATAAAACCCGAACGATGACATTCTTACAGCAGCGACAGGGGCTAACATTTATTTGACAACTTCCCTCCCCACACCTTGCCTCCGCCGCTCCTTGTTGTTAAGCGGTGAGTCCCTTTTTTAATCTGCAGAATCTGTTTTTTTGTTGTTGTTTTTTTTCTGTTCTACTATAGAAACATTTGGGTTTGCTTTCATA